AGGTACTGTTTATATAGACAAACAGATGCTGTTTATATAGACAAACAGGTACTGTTTATATAGACAAACAGGTACTGTTTATATAGACAAACAGATGCTGTTTATATAGACAAACAGGTACTGTTTATATAGACAAACAGATGCTGTTTATATAGACAAACAGGTACTGCTTATATAAATAGACAGATGCTGTTTATATAGACAAACAGGTACTGTTTATATAGACAAACAGGTACTGTTTATATAAATAGACAGATGCTGTTTATATAGACAAATGGGTACTGTTTATATAAATAGACAGATGCTGTTTATATAGACAAACAGGTACTGTTTATATAAATAGACAGATGCTGTTTATATAGACAAATGGGTACTGTTTATATAAATAGACAGATACTGTTTATATAGACAAACAGTTACTGTTTATATAAATAGATAGATACTGTTTATATAGACAAACAGATACTATTTCTGAAACAAAAAGAATTGTCTATTTTTATCTTTCTACGCTTTTCTGAAAAGACATAGAAATGTTGGCAAGATTGTTTTACATAACTTGTATAGCTATATTGTTATGGTTTCCATAATTAACATTTAGATTTGAATATTTTGGATATAAATGAATAATACATTTGAAGGTACTTTCTGTCGAAAATATAACTTAAATAACCTTTTATCTTATGGAAATGACAGCTGTATTATTACAATATAGAATTCTTGGTAGCTTATTCCATAGCTTGTATGGGGTTTCTTAATTGATTTATGCAGTTTTCAGTTGATTAAAGATTAATACAATGCGTATTGTTAAAGTTATTAAAGTAATTCTTGTTTTGTGTTAATTAAAATATCAATTTGTTTTATATTATTTGCTAGATTAACCTTTTTTCATTTTATTTTAATTGCTAAATCAAAATATTTGATGTGTTACAATTTAACTGCTAGTCGTATCAAAGTATTAACATACTCAAAATCCATACATTTTAAAGTAAACTCTGTTTGAATTGTCAAAGTTAGTACAAATAACTTCTGTTAATAAACGTCCAAAAAATATTATAAATACCAACAACTTACTTAAGCTTTCTCATGTAGATAGAAGGTTCAGGAAATGTAGTAATATATTTAATGATTTTATTACACTAAACTAATGATGTTGTGATATTCTAAATCTCTTTATTTTCAAAATGTGGCTTAATTTTTACCCTTCTTGTCATTAGTACTTACTTAGAATGCTTAATGTTAATTTGGTCTTATGTAACTACTTATTTTATCCAATTTCTTCATCTTCCAAGACATGAGAAGCAACAGCTGTCTTCTTGTTTCTAAAACAAACATTGTATTTGTGTTCATTTCATCAACATTACACATATCAGGCTCTGAGTCCCTATTTTTATTTTCTGGATGTAATGGGTTTTTCTTGTTCATTTGAAAGAGTTGCCAGTATAGGTTTAGGACTAAATCCTACTTCATGACAAAGAACAACATTAAAATCTGGAAATAATGAACATATAAAACAAACTTGGACTTTTTTCAGGTGAGCTATAATGTGGATGGTTTCTGTGAACGAAATCGTGATGTTCTTTTTACAGACATCATTCAGTTGATGAAGACAAGTGATAAGTAAGTATCGTTCTAGTTCTTCTCAATTTTCTTTAAATTGTTTTTCTTCTTGATGTGAGAACTGCATTATACTTCAGGTGATTTTATAAAAACCAGTAAATCATTGTTAAAAAAATCTGTTTAAATTTTTCATTTAAACTATGCAAATAAATTTCATTTAATTAAAAAATCAAATGATTATCTATGTAAATTTTTGGGATTTCTTGAATATTATATATATTAATACTAAAAGCTAAATGCTTTGAAATGTATTTGTCTCGTTGTCGCACAGTTACAAGTACTTTATGTGCCTGTCAAGCTTCTAGATCTCCGAAGAATGCTGTATATTTTAATAAGTATTAACTGATATATGTACTTATATATATCTGTAAGAACAGAATGTAACTTGAGTACAACAAACTTGTACATTTTACTAAAACTTTGCCACATTTCGGGTGGATACGCATAGTAAATTTGGAAGTATAGTCAACATTTATTGTCCAATACAAGGTTGGTCCAGTGGACTGACACATTCAGTCAATACACTGTGTATTTTAAAAAGTATCAACCAATATATGTACTCATATGTAGAAACAAGACTATTTATCATTAAATATAATTTTTATTGTGGAGTTTTTAGCGGGTATTCTGTTAGAAGTTATTAAATAGTGTATAAGTAGAAGAACACAAGGTGTAGGTAGTAGTGTGTTTGTTAATATCTTGAAATAACAAAGAAATGGTACTGAAATGATAGCACAGTAAACTGAGAGCTTTCAGGAAGTGGACTTTCCCTCATCAGATATAAATGATAATATTTGCTATTAATCCTTGATAAATGAAAGTCCACTGTCTGAAATCATTCAAGTTATTGGGTTACTTTTAATAGAGACTTTTATTATACTAATTTTTTTCTGTTGATTCTGTGGAATATCATGAGTGAATATAGAAGTAATATCATTGTAATATAATGAGTGAATATAGAAGTGATATCATTGTAATGTCATGAGTGAATATAGAAGTGATATCATTGTAATATCATGAGTGAATATAGAAGTGATATCATTGGAATATCATGAGTGAATATAGAAGTGATATCATTGTAATATCATGAGTGAATATAGAAGTGATATCATTGTAATGTCATGAGTGAATATAGAAGTGATATCATTGGAATATCACTGTTCTATCTATCTAAGCTGCAGTCATCCCTCGTTGGATGTAGCTCTCTGTGAGACCAGTCCAGTATTTCCTGTTTTTAGCATACCGTGTCCATCTCATTCCTGCTTCCGACACTGTATCGTCCCTCCATCTTTTCTTTTGCCTTCCGTTAGATCTTTTCCCTGTCCTAGGTTGCCATTCCATTGTTCTTAATGTCCACCTCTTGGCGGATTTAATGTCCTCTCTTAACTGACCTGTATTGTTGTGTTTTATATATTATGGTATTTGAAACACATACACTACACTCAATTTCTTTGCTTATCTTTTTCCAAAACTGTTCATATTGTATCTCGATCTAACTTTATTAATTATTCTTAAAGAAGGTGACCAAAATTTTTATTTTTATGTTACATAACTTCAAGTAGAAACACATTTGTATTATATTCACATAAAACACTTTAATTTTCTGGGTAAAGTAACTTCTTAAAGCTACTGATTTTTTTTTTAATATTGTATTTGCCTAACTTATGTTATAAGAATAAGCTCTCTATGCTGTATCTTTTATCATGGAGTTGAATTAATTATGTTATAAGTGACTTTAATTTTTTTTTCTCTTTTTTTTAATGTATAAGGCTGCTTTGTTTTGTTTTTTACTTCATCTTAATTTCTTTTATTTCTTAACATAACTTTGTTTTTTAGTCAGTCTTCATCTAAATTTTTAATTCTTTATCCTATAAACTCAGATTTCAATTCATTACAAAGTATAGGACTCTCTTTTTTTTTCTTTTTTTCATGTAAGCTTGTTTAGTACAATCTCGATAGCATAGTATTTTTTGTAATACATTAAAAGAAATTCAGTGTATTCTGTTAAATACCAGATTTCAGATCATAATTTTAGGTTGCTTGTTTTAATAAAACCATATTGTAAAGTTCTTGAAACAATAAGTGTTTTGTGGCCTGGTATGACTTGGTGATTAGGGTGCTTAACTCACAACGTGCAGGTCGTGAAATCAAAACCTGTTACCAAACTTTCTGTCCTGGGGGCTTTATAATGTGATGGTTAATCCCACTATTCATTGATAAATTGTAGTCCAAGAGTTGCTTTCCCTCCAGTCTATCACTGCTAAATCAGGGATAGCTAGTGTATAGTACTCGAGTAGCTTTGTGCAAAACCAACTAACCACTTTTTCATGTTTTTCAGTCCCTTCATAGTCAACCTGTTTCCAGAAAATGTCAGCACTACCATTCGCACAAGGCCCTCAACCGCTGGTAGCAAAATAAGGGTAAGAAAGATTAATATTTTCTATTAGTATATAGTTAATTCAGTAATTTATTAAAACGATGAACACAAGCCTCGTGGAAATATGAAACTAAAACCATGCAGAAGGATATTTAAGATGACGGAGAATCCTTTTAAGACATTTCTCATTATGCCTTAAATGAATATTTTTCTCAGGCTTGTGCCCATTCTTATAACCTGTTAAATTTAACAGAAAGTGCACTAAAATAGAAATAGGTATGAATATATGTTAAACTCAGTTAATTGTTCTTGGATAATTAATACTATATACCTGGAGTACACTAAATAAATGTTAAAATATATTTTCGATGATCGTGTTAATCAGAAGTCATAAAGTCTTTAATAATTTGCTAAACTGTATTTTTTTATCAACTGTATCATTTAGATTATTTTCACTATGTTAATCAGTTTTTTATTACTTGCACAATAATTTCAGACTCAAGCCAACAAACTAGTTGAGGCTCTTACAAAATGCACCCCACATTACATAAGATGTATTAAACCCAATGCATCTAAGAAAGCACATGACTGGGATGAACCTAGGTAATTGTTTAGCCAATCTTAGATAATCTAGTGTTAGTGATATTTATTTGTATTTTTCATGCTGTATCATATTAAAATAGCCAAGAGACAGGGCTACAGCGTAAACTTATCAGAATGTTAGTCAAGAGACAGGGCTACAGCTTAAACTTATCAGAATGTTAGCCATAAGACAGGGCTACAGCTTAAACTTATCAGAATGTTAGTCAAGAGACAGGGCTACAGCTTAAACTTATCAGATTGTTAGCCATAAGACAGGGATACAGCTTAAACTTATCAGATTGTTAGTCAAGAGACAGAGCTACAGCTTAAACTTATCAGATTGTTAGTCAAGAGACAGAGCTACAGCTTAAACTTATCAGATTGTTAGTCAAGAGACAGAGCTACAGCTTAAACTTATCAGATTGTTAGTCAAGAGACAGAGCTACAGCTTAAACTTATCAGATTGTTAGTCAAGAGACAGAGCTACAGCTTAAACTTATCAGATTGTTAGTCAAGAGATAGAGCTACAGCTTAAACTTATCAGATTGTTAGTCAAGAGACAGAGCTACAGCTTAAACTTATCAGATTGTTAGTCAAGGGACAGGACTACAACTTAAACTTATCAGATTGTTAGTCAAGAGACAGGGCTACAGCTTAAACTTATCAGATTGTTAGTCAAGAGACAGAGCTACAGCTTAAACTTATCAGATTGTTAGTCAAGAGACAGAACTCAGCAAGGCTGGGAAAGGTGTTGTTTATTTAAAGCCATTATTGCAAGGCTGAGAAAGGTGTTGTTTATTTAAAACCATTACTGCAAGACTGAGAAAGGTGCTGTTTATTTAAAGCCATTATTTCAAGGATGAGAAAGGTGTTGTTTATTTGAGGTATTATGGAATGTGTTTAGAAATTATCCTTTGCAGTTTTAAGCATTTTGAGAGGTTATTGTTTACTACATAGCTAAGTGTCAAGTACTGGAGAATAGGGGGTCATTGATTAAGTTCTTAGTTAATTAATACTTCAGTAGACATATGCTTGTGACTTTAACTTGTACCTCGAAGGGATAATCAATAGGCTTAAAGAAATATCTTAAAATCTAAGATAAAAAAAAAGCTACTTTCTTATAAGTATTTCCAGTTCTTGCTTTACTTTAGTGTTTGAGGTGATGCTAACTTTTTTCTGTCAGACTGCATGTGTTTGATTATCATGAGTACATGATTTTGTTATAAAATGATGTAAGTCATGTTAGGTGAAAATTGAATCATGGTAGATTCAGAGATTCATACTTACTTCTGTTGACTGTAATTTGGGAACTAATAATATACGTATATAATATACGTATATATATATATATATATACAAAGTTACTAGTTTTAATCTTTTTTTAATTACTAGGACTGAAGTATAAAAGTAATTTGTTTCTCATTGTAGGGTGAAACATCAAGTTGAATATTTGGGATTGAAAGAAAATATAAGGGTAAGAAGAGCTGGTTTTGCTTATCGCCGACCTTTTGATAAATTTCTTCACAGGTGAGATTTTTTCTTACAACATACATTTTCTTATTCCATTTAATATGTTTCTGGCATTATCTGTTTGACAAAAATTAAGTAAAACCTTCATGCAGAGACTTAAGTCATATCATTAGAAAGTCGGTTGGCAAATAAGATCTTTGGGTTTTAGGCTTAAGTTGTCATAAGAAAAGATGAAATTTATCACTGTTAATCATATTTAAGTAATCAAGAATTAATTAGGTTTTAGATGAGAGACACAATTAGGGATCAGTTAATTAATGATGTGATAAGAAAGATAAATGTTACATTTTAGTACTTAGTAAATTAACATTAACTTCTGATCAAAGAAAACTACCTACATAGACCAGATCTAAAAGTTAACTGTTCTAATGTTTTTGCTTATATTGATTAGAATTTCTTACAGTCATACTTATAAAGATTAGAATACATTGTTTTATCAGTTGTTAATGATATTTTCAGCCATAATGCCAGTATTATCTCATGATGTTTCGCCAGCATAAGAAATTTAAGTTAGTCCTAAATCTGTATACTAAGCTAACAATGCAAAATATTCCTTGTGGTAAAGAATACATAATAATAAAAAATATTAAAAATTAAAAATAGATATATGAAACATTCTAACCAATACTGTTAATGAAATTAGCATTTAAAAAAGAATAGAGTATATCTTGCAGGAAATAAACACTTAGTGGTTTATTTTATGCCTCTCTAACAACTTCTAACGGCCACTGAAAGCACATTAAACGAACACTAGTGGTTTATTTTATGTCTCTCTAACAACTTCTAACAGCCACTGAAAGGACATTAAACGATTCTGATAGTGTAATGCTAAAGTAGGTTAAAATCTGATATAAATTACTATATCACATGACTACTTAGCTGTAAATTTGAGTAGCAGGACATTAGAGATAATACATAAAAAAATCTAATGCTTAGGAAGACACAAGATAATAAATTAAATGAGTAACTCAATAAACAGTAAATATTGACACTAACTGAAAGTTCAAGCCTGTGGAGCGTACCTGTTATATGACAAACAACAGAAAGCTAGAAATATTGACACTAACTGAAAGTTCAAGCCTGTGGAGCGTACCTGTTATATGACAAACAACAGAAAGCTAGAAATATTGACACTTACTGAAAGTTCAAGCCTGTGGAGCGTACCTGTTATACGACAAACAACAGAAAGCTTTTACTGATTATATTTTCCATAACTTTTCAGTCAAAGATCAAGAACTGGAAGTGATAAAAAAATAATATATACAAAGTTTTGCTTTAAGATCCTCAGAGAAGAAAGAAATCTTTTAATATATTTAAATGCAACTTCTATATAATCTCTAAAAGCAGCAAAAAGTATCCCTTAAACAGATGGAGAAACCATTCTTTAAAAGTTCATGTTTTGAACTAAAGGTCTTTATATTCAACTAAACAAAAGGTTTTTGTTTCTCTAAGGTGAATACTAATTTTTTATTCATGTACAAAACTTCATTTTCTGTAACTTTTCAACTCTAGCTACTAGTTAGTTCTGTACAATTTTCTTTAAACATAAGGGATAGTGACAGTTAAGTTTAATTTTCCGAAATTTATAATTGCATTAAATTCTAATGATAATTGCAAATAGTATTAATCACAATAACTTTCAGTGGCAGTTACAAATATTTAGTAATCATACTAGCTTCTAGTGGTGCAGTTACAAAGGATTAGTAACCACATTAACTTCTAGAAGCTGTTACAAATGTTTATAGTAATCCCATTAACTTCTAGAAGCAGTTACAAATATTTAGCAATCACATTAATTTCTAGAAGCAGTTATAAATGTTTATAATGACCACATTAATTTCTAGAAGCAGTTACAAATGTTTATAGTAATCCCATAACTTCTAGAAGCAGTTACAAATATTTAGTAATCATACTAGCTTCTAGTGGCAGTTACAAAGGATTAGTAACCACATTAATTTCTAGAAGCAGTTACAAATATTTAGTAACCACATTAATTTCTAGAAGCAGTTACAAATATTTAGTAGCCACATTAATTTCTAGAAGCAGTTACAAATGTTAATAATAACCACATTAATTTCTAGAAACAGTTACAAATGTTTATAGTAATCCCATTAACTTCTAGAAGCAGTTACAAATGTTTATAGTAATCCCATTAACTTCTAGAAGCAGTTACAAAGGATTAGTAACCACATTAATTTCTAGAAGCAGTTACAAATGTTTATAATAATCCTATTAACTTCTAGAAGCAGTTACAAATGTTCTGCCACTAGAAGTTACTAGGATTACTAATCCTTTGTAACTGCCATCAGAAGTTACTATGATTACTAAATATTTGTAATTGTCACTAGAAGTTACTATGATTTCTAAATGTTTGTAACTGCTTCTAGAAGTTAATAGGATTATTATGTTACAAATATTTAGTAATCATAGTAACTTCTGATGGCAGTTACAAAGGATTAGTAATCCTAGTAACTTCTAGTGGCAGTTACAAATATTTAGAGAACTTCTATAGAAAAACTAATGATGTAGGTTATGTGACTCTTTGGTGCTATTCTCCTTTCTCATCTTGTGATTTTTCAGGACACATATAAAAAGGACCATTCCCTTGCTTGTTTATAATTCATTTCTGATCGATTGAAGTAAGCTTTGTTATTGATTAAGGACTCGTACAATAAGTATTATTTTCCTATAGGTACGCAATTTTGACGAAGGAGACATGGCCCAGCTGGCAAGGAGATGTCAGAAAAGGAGTGTTACATATTTTGAATCATGCTAACTTAGATGACGACGAGTACCAGCTGGGAAAAACTAAAATCTTTATCAAGGCTCCAGAATCAGTAAGTTTCTTGTGATCTTGTCGTTCTGAAGCATTATGCCCTGTTTGACTACTGAAACCTTCATCAGGCTCTGGAATTAGTAAATTAATTATTACTGTCACCCTGAAATATTATGCCCTATTTACTTACATCGAGTCATATTGAAACCTCTATCAAAGTTCTGAAATTAGTAAGTTTACCATTATTTGTTATTCTTAAATATTACGCCCTGTTGTAATATATCCAGTCGTACTGGGACTTCTTAAATATTACGCCCTGTTGTAATATATCCAGTTCTACTGTGACTTCTTAAATATTACGCCCTGTTGTAATATATCCAGTCGTACTGTGACTTCCATCAAAGTTCCGTAAGTAGTATTTTTTATCTAGTCTATTTCCGTATACTCAGTTTTTACTTTTCGTTTCACTTCATGCACTGTTTCATTTCTATGCTACTCTAATATTATTTAAAAATATCAGCAGAATATTCTCTTCTGATATTCTTATTGATATAGTTATTTTACTGAAATGGTAATTGCAATATGCAGTCATGCTGTTTTTAATTCATGCTTCCTGTTTCAGCACGTTTGTTTACTGTTTTGCCGTCATTTACGTAGATACTTTCATTACAAACTACAAGTCAATTTTTGTGATTCACAAAAGTAGTTTGAATTTAAAATGTTAAGTAGTTTTATCGCTAGCATTTTAATAATATTTTGTTTTGGTTTAGCTTTTTCTTTTGGAAGAAAGAAGAGAAAGAGTTTATGACAGTTACGCACGTGTGATACAGAAAGCTTTCCGTCGTTACATAGCTAGGAGACACTATATGCAACTGAAAACACAAGGTGGGACAATAAACTCAAAACTATTTTAACACCCTTTTGATATAAATAAAAATTTACATATATATACTTTCATTACAGTTAAAGCTCATTAATAAATTTCACTAAAATATTTTTCTGAAATATAACAGTCTAAAGGTTTGTAAGTTACATAATTTACCACTGATGTCTCGATTGAATGTACAGAAAAGTATGTAAATTTGATAGTTTTCTTAGTTTGCTTTCAGCATTGTACTATACGTTACTTTTTTTTTCATGTTTTTTTAAAATGTTCATGCTTCTTAGCTGCTGATCTGCTCTTTGGAAAGAAGGAGAGAAGACGTCACAGCATCAACAGAAATTTTATTGGTGACTATATTGGTTTGGATGAGTTTCCTGCGATTCGTGCTCTTGTAGGAAAAAGAGAGCATATAGAATTTGCTGGCACAGTTAAAAAGTTTGACAGGAGGTTTAAGGTATCCCAAATTTTTCTTAAATTTTATATACATATTCTTTACATCCTATCAGTTTTTTGACCAAAATTGCTTATATATTAATAACAGATTCTTTGAAATAGCTAGAACAGGGTAGTTTTTATGTCTGTAGCAGCGACCCTTGTGAGTGGTCAATTTGTTAAAGGCATAACTTTCATAATGGATGTAGGTATTAGTCTTGGTGAACCTATTATTATCATAAATAAAAAACAATCATATTTGTATAATATACATAAATATATTGTATAATATACATAAATATATTGTGTAATATACATAAATATATCGTATAATGTACATAAATATATTGTGTAATGTACATAAATATATTGTATA